ATTCCTTATTATATTATTGTAGAATATAAATATAATATGTTAATAATAAAAAATTTAAATATTAAAATAAAAATCATGTAGAAAGAAAATATTATAATGATATTTGCCGGAAGATATGCTCCCAGCATACTTTTTGTATTGCGATGCTCCTGGGGCACAGCATCACGTGGGCTTGGCCGCCAAGTCTCGAGTGGTAGTGGGGGTCGCCTTAGGAATCTGCCCGAAATGGGCAACTAATTCTGAGCACTGACCTAGATCAACCTCATTTAACAACTTATGTAGTTTCTTTTCGGCGCTATCCGCGAAGCTTTTAACTAACTTGTCTTTGAGCGCGGCGTATCTATCCATCGCGGGCAGATTAAATACGTTAACTTCGGTCAAAGAATCGTCGTTAAGTCACTGTATCACATAATTGTATTTTGTCTCATCTACAGTTATACCCGCGGTGGGGAATTAAGCTTCCATTTGTATGAATCATAGGTCTGGCTTCGATTTCCGACTAGATTTGATTCCGACTCGCGTAAGTACAGGCACTTCAACTATACGCGGCGATGCACCGCTATCCTGATTGCCCGAGGAAGGATCGCCTGAGCCATGTCTGCGGCTTGTTAGAATGTGCGTTAGGTTAAATGGAACGCTATGCAATCACGTCGAGGTCACCAATTTGTGGCTACGTTGTGACTGCTGTGCCACAATGTGGCGCCGAGCGTATCTAGGAGCCAACGATGACAACTAACGACGAAGGACAATTGGCGGGAAATCGTTAGATTTGCGAATAAATGTTACTCGTTGATTCAGACTCATATACCACAAAGTGGTTTAATAAAAACTTGAATGATTATTTAGCAAGTATAGATTACAAAAATAGAGACGTGATTGAGACGCGTGCGTAAGACGGATATCGGTATCGCGTTGCTAAATTAAAATACAGGAAACTAAGAAAATATACACTATGAGTATTTATCTAACGACGCCGATAACTACCGAATGACATGAGCAGTAATCGATGTTGATCTCGCAGTGAACACAAGATGATTCTTAATTTTATCAAGTAATCTATTATCTATCGCAGAAGATTGCACGAGGTCCACACGCAGAACGCCATGACATCAGAGAGAAGGAAAGAAAAGAAAGCCGGAAAGAAGAATCAACTCGAGCGCCGCGATTAATGCTCGCAGCGCCGCAACTAATATTCGCACAGTACACTCTCCTCCCAGTGTAAACATTAAGGAAAGAAATACTGATTATCGCTAGAACGAAAATAACAGAAAATTAAATTAAGTGGAACAAACAGAAACTTATGTTTATTGATCGCTTAATGTAATATTGCGCGAATTAATCCTTAAATCTATTATAACAATCTTTCGCTTGCTGGAGAATATTAGGTGTACAACTTTGCTTTCGCCGTTTTCCTATAGATGGCTTTAGCGATAAGTGGTGGTAAAAATAAATAGATCATAGACGTCGTACAAATCTGGGCATCTGTCAACATAACCCCATAGAAACATTAGATTTGTGTCTGCATCATAAAGTTATTCTCGATTGAAAATGTCAGTTTTCGAGCTAAATTCTCGTCATTTGCGGGAGGTTTTAATTTTCTGCTTCAATATGAAGAAATCTGCGGCTGAGGCTCATCGAATGCTCTCAAATACTGATGAGGCCGCTATTAGTGAAAGAATATGTCGTGAGTGGTTTCAACGCTTTAAGAACGGCGATTTTGATTTAAGACGTCGAAGACTGGCATAGCAGTGGAAGAGAGAAGGTTTTCGAAGAATTGGAGGCATTACTTGATCAAGACTCGTGTCCAAATCAAGAAGAATTGGCACGATCATTGGGAGTGATTCAACAAGCCATTTCAAAACGCCTCAAAATCATGGGAATGATTCAGAAGCAAGGAAATTGGGTGCCGTACGAGTTGAAGCCGAAAGATGTTGAATGATGTTTGTTTGCTTGTGAACAGCTGCTTGAAAGACAAAGACGGAAGGGATTTCTGCATCGTATTGTGACTGGGGATGGAAAATGGATTCATTACGATAACCCCAAGCTCAAAAAATCATGGGGAGTTCCCGGCCATGCTTCCACGTCGACGGCCAAACAGTATATTCACGGCTCCAATGTCAAACTCTGTATTTGGTGGAACCAGCTCGGCGTAGTATTGTGAGCTGTTAAAACCAATTGAAACAATCACAGTTGATCAGTATCGTACGCAATTGATGCGTTTGAGTCGAGCATTGAAAAACAAACGGTCACAATATAACGAGAGACACGATAAAGTGATTTTGCAGCATGACAATGCTCGACCTCATATTGCGAAAGTGGTCAAGATATACTTGGAAACATTGAAATGGGAAGTCCTAGCCCACCCGCCGTATTCTCCAGACGTTGCTCCCTCTGACTATCACTTGTTTCGATCAATGGCACATGGTCTGTCTGACTAGCACTTTCGGTTTTATGAAGAAGTAAGAAATTGGATCGATTCGTGGATCGCTTCAAAAGATGAGTTTTTTTGACGCGGGATTCGTACGCTGCCCAAAAGATGGGAGAAAGTAGTGCCAGCGATGGACAATACTTTGAATCATAAATGTATAACCAGTTTTTTACAATAAAGCCTCGAATTTCGTAAAAAAAACGGCGGAAGCAAAGTTGTACATCTAATATCTTTGGTTTACATTGCACTGGAATGTTGAAGACTGGGACGCAGTGGAATAGTTTCTGAGTCGTGAATTATTAAATAAGCGGGCTTAGGTCTATTGACAGTGGCGTTGATACATTTGCCGTCGACTTCTATGGCAAAGACTTTGTCCGAAATGCGCTCTAATACTTTATGCGGTCCGGTGTACGGTTGGTCCAGGGGACGTCTGTTGCTTTCTACTTTGAAGAAGACATGAGAGCAGTTATACAAATGTTTATAGAAAAATAACTTAGGCCTAATGTGATAAGAGGTTGGTGTAGGCAGTAACTTTTGTATAAATACGCGGAAATCCTCGACGAAAATTCATGGGTCGCTCGGCACTTCTTCAAAGGAGAAAAACTCACTCGGTATTTTGAGCGTAGTGCCGTAAATTAATTCCGCTACAGAAGTGCTTAGATCCTCTTTGAAACAAGTTTTCAGTTCGAGTACTACTGGCAGTGTATCAGTCCATTGAATTTCACCGTGGCACATTAATGCAGTTTTTAAAGAGCGATGCCATCGATGATGCCATTCGATGATGCCATTCGATTCTGAATGGTATGCAATTGTCCGGAAACGTTTAGAACCGACGAGTTTGGTTAATATGTTGAACAGCTGCGCTTCGAATTGCGAGCCCTGATCAGTTGTGATCAGGCGTGGAGCTCCAAATCTGGCTACCCAGTGAATGAAAAACATCTTCGTCACCGTGTTTGCTGTACAATCCTGTAATGGAACAGCTTCCGATCAACGAGTAAATCGGTCAATCATTGTTAATAAATACCTGAAACCTTTGGATAAAGATAAAGGACCGACGATATCGATATGTACGTGCTCGAAACGAGTATCTGGTATTTTGGTAGGCGAGATATGGTTATGCCGAGGTTGAAGTTTTGCCGATGAATTTTAGATTGCTGGCATGCTAGACAAATGCGGGCCCACTCTTTAACGTCTTTAGCCATGGAGGGCCACACAAATTTTTGCGCAATTTGCCGATGAGTTGCTCTGCCACTTGGAAGAAACATTTGATGCACCATGTCAAAAACTCGTCTTCGTAATAGTCCAGGAATGTAAGGTTTGATCTCTTCTTCTGAAGTGTCATAGTAAATGTTAGATGCTGTTTCCGATAAGGTAAAGTTTTTGAGCTTCAAAGACATTGATATAAATTGCTTCAGTTGCTGCAATTCGTCATCCAAAGCTTGAGCTTCTGCAATCTCTTGCATATCGAGACTAATTGGCATCACGATAGTGTCGACGCGAGATAATGCATCTGTTACAATATTTTCAGCGCCTGAAACGTGACGTACATTGATTGTGAACTCCGAAATGAAGAGTAGTTGACGGGTTTGTCTTGGTGATATTTGATCTGATTTCCTCTTGAATGCATTTATGATCCGTGACACGAGGGGGTTTATGATCTGTGATAACGTGAAAGTTTCGTCCCTCTAACATATATCGAAAATGTTTGAGAGCCGCATAGATAGATAATAATTCTCTATCATATGCGCTACTTTGTTTGCGTAGGCGTGAGCTTCCTTGAAAAGAAACTGAGTGGCTGTAAAAATCCGTTGCTGTACTGTTGCAATACCGCACCAATTGCTTTGTCTGAGGCGTCTGTTTGCAACAAGAGTGTTGCCTTGTTGTCTGGAAATGCGAGCGAGGTGACTTGAGCGAGATATTCCTTAACTCGTTGAAAGGATTGTTTGAGCTCAGGAGTTCATTCTACTTTCGCATTGTTGTTGCATTTAAGTTCCGAGATTGCATTTAGCAATGTGCTTGCATGCTTGCGAGATCTTTGAGAAAACGGTTATAAAAATTGAACATTCCTAAGAAACATCGAAGTCCTTTGACTGTAGCTGGTTCCTGAAATTCAACGATAGCTTGGACTTTTTCAGGTAAAGGTTTAATGCCTTCAGCGCTGATTGTATGTCCCAGGAAGCTGACACTTTTCTGTCCAAACACACATTCGGATTGATTGCTATGCTATACTGTTAAAGTTTGTTGAACAGTATTTTTAAATGTTCTTTATGCTGTGTTTCGTCCTGCGATTAAAATGTCATCGATATAAGTAAAACAGAAGTCAAGTCCTATAGTTACTCGGTTCATAAATCTTTGAAAAGTTTGTGCTGCGTTACGAAGTCCGAATGTCATATAAGGAAATTTGAAAAGTCCGAACGGTATAATAATTGCGGTTTTCGGAATATCCGATTCACGAACTGGAATTTGTTGGTATGTATGCACTAGATCTATCGTAGAGAACACGGTTTTGTCATACAGGAAATGTATGCTGTCTTGCAAGAACGGAATTGAGTAACGATCTGGCACGGTTACCTCATTTGCGGTAATCTCCACATGGACGCCAATCGCTATTCTTCTTCTGCACAAGATGTAGAGGACTAGCCCAAGGGCTCTTGAAAGGTCTGCATAAGTCTTGTTGCATCATGTACTCAAACTCTTGTTTAGTTGCTATGAGTTTTTCTGGACAGAATCGTCTGGCTTTATTTGACACAGGAGGACCCGTTGTTTCGATTACATGTTCCACTCCGTGTGCGATTTGTTTGTGCGTGATCGACGTTCTAGTTATTTCAGGAAACTTGCTTAGAATCTCTTTGTATGGGCAGTCATCGGCAAACGCTGTTAACCGAGAAATAGTTTTGACGAGCTGAGCAGAGACTTTAAGAAACGTATTACCGTTGATTAAACGCTTATGTTGTATGTCAGGCAGCAAGTTGAAACGTGCTAGAAAATCTGAGTCGATAATGAAGGTGTCCACTTCGACGATTATAAAAGGAAAAACACGATGGAATCTCAAATCAAACTGGAGTAATTTTTGTCTGTACATAGGGATAATCGTTCTATTTGCAGCAGTAGGGTAACAATGTTTGCCAATGTGAGTACGATCGTGTCTTGAGATAGGAATGGTCGAGACATCCGCTCCAGTGTCCATCAAAAATTGGATGCCAGTGACACGATCTCTATAAGACGACGAGCTACCACAGCCAAACTATCTACCGTCGGGGATAGTTCAGCCTCTAGTTTTCCTGTTTCGCTGGCTTCCAGCTGCAGGGTTGCATACACGTGGTAGCTTTTCCGTCAAAACGTCGATGATAAGACGGCTTGCTCTCCGATTGTGACCTTGAACGGTTTCTGCGACGAGAATTCTGTGAGGCCCGTGACTTGTCATGCGATAAATGAGTTTCCATCTCTCCATTCGATCTAGAAGCGCGGTTATTTGCGAATCTGCTGAATTGCTACTTTTGTCGGTGTAATTGCTGCGACAGCATTAATGCCAGTGGATAGCACGTCTGTTATTCGGTTTGCTAGTTGCGATAGCTCTTCGAGTTCGTGCTTGCTAGCTGTTAATATAGCCTGCACTTGTTGTAAGTGCTGCAGCCATAAAAATTTAAGCACTTCTTCTGACATGCCATTTTGCGCAAGATCTCTCATCCGACAGAACAATTGCGACAGATGGCGGTCACCTACAGATCAACCTTGTTTAATAACCTACACAGTTTCTTTTCGGCGCTATCCGCAAAGCTTTTAACTAACCTATTTTTCCCTCGGTATCGCGTTACTAGATAGAATACGGAAACTAAGAAAATATACACTACTATGAATATTTATCTGACGCTAACAATTACCGAATGACATGAGCAGTAATCGATGTCGCAGTGAAGGTGATTCTTAACCTATTATCTATCGCAGAAACTTACACGAAGTTCGCACACAGAACGCCATGACATCAGAGAGAGGGAAAGAAAAGAAAATCGAAAAGAAGAACCAACTCGAGCGCCGCGATTAACACTCGTAAAATCACATTCTCACGCTATGTCATGCCATCTCACGCACGGAAAGGACTGGAAGGAGCTAGAAGATATGTTGATCGATGAAACTAAATAAATTATTAGCACCGTATATAAATATAAAATTTTTAATATAATATATTAAAATTTAATATAATATATTAACATTTTTATTACGTTTGCTAGAAAAAAATATATTTTTTTCGATTTGTGGGAAACCCAACAAATGAGAATGGATTAAAATGGATTGAAATTTTTTTCTATCCGAATGCGTATTTTAAATAGCGAATACTTTTTTCTGGATTTAATTGAATTCAATTTGTTCGAGATGCATCCGAAAAACAGTTTTCGCAGATTCGGTGTAAATGCAACATATGGATTGGAAGCTTTTGGAACAATTTCAAACGTTTCTAAAAGAAATTTCCAAAAAACAAACTTAATTGTCACCTCGTTGATGAAGTCAAAAAATATAATCAAACCCGCATGTCGTACGTACACAAATTCCAACCGCTAAAACGGCAATCAAATTCGGGTCGGTCACAGCGCACGCGCACTCGCGTGATGTGAAACGCTTAAGAGGATGCTGGAGCGAAGGCCGAAGTTGATCAAGGTCGATATTACAGGTTTTCATTTCCAATGTATAAGCTGCTTACGCCCTCTGAAGTTAATATGATCATGCAGGAAATTCGATCGATTAATTATCGATATTTTTATTCTGTTTCCTACATTACCATCTTAACAGGGACATGTATTAGGGTCGGTTTCCACAATGTAAGATTTATTTTGGAAAATTTTCCAATTTTAGAATTAAAAAAAAAATAAACATAATTGAAGTTAATCTTATATTTGTAGAATCGGACTTTAGAAATTTAGTTGCATTATATACATATTTAGTTGTATTATATACACATGCAATGTAGGCCGTGTTCTAATATATATCACCAGTACTAAAAGTCTGTAATATACATAAAATACAGATTTTTAATTAATAGATATATCGATACGAAGCCGTAATAGCACTTTTTTCTCATCCAATTCCATTTTAGATTACGATAATATATTATCATAAATGAACATCATAATATATATATATATATATATTAATATCGTGTTTTAAATTTACGTTTAAAAAAAAATTAGACAATTACACAAGGACAATGTTATATATGTTAAACAGAATGTTAACAATTAATCGTTATTCAAGAATTTAAAATGATAAAATTATATAAAATTTGAATATCACGTTTTCCTAACTTAAAAGTAATTAAAAAATAAATAAAAAGGGATTCGAGGAAATAGGCGCTGTTCAGAGTGCGCAACAAAATAATAGCATTAATTTGAAAACAGACACAGAACTACTAAACCAAGTATATTACTTTAATTATTTTAACTCTTAGTTTGTTTTTATTATTGACATCAAATTTGACTTTTAAATGATCAACGAGCTTTTACGATTTCTGTTCATTTCACTGCTTGTTGATGGTCTTTCCGTATTATACATTTTATTTCTCATCTATTTATTATTTTATAATTTGACTTAACAATTTTTTAATTGTGAACATTCCTTGCTATCAATACTTTAGACCAGCAGTTTACTTTATGTGCTTACAGTTTCCATTGATGGGTGAGTTTTTGTACATTTTCCCACATAAAAAAAATATTTATTTTATTTTATTATTAAAGGCATCGAAAATTATAAGTTCCATCCAGTCTTGTAACTGGCATGGGAAAATGTATTCTCGATAGAGAAGTTAATTTGGTTTTCTTAGAGACTGCAATAAATGAATTTCATATCTTTCCATTTTTTTTTTGTATACGTTAGGCTGTTTAAGTATGTAACGTTGCATTACTATCGCTGAAGAAGATTAGAAGATTAACCGAAACATACAAAATTTATTATCGTTTAACAATAATAAATTATATACAACCTATTATACGTTTTTTTTTGTTCTGTCGTCTCTTCAATAAATTTAACTTTTATATTGAAAGATTTCTTTGAACAATTTGTGCACTCTGAACAGCGCCTATTTCTTCGAGCTCCTTTTTACTTATTTTTTAGATAAAATTAGTCTCTTATAGAAGAAAATAATTGCGATATAGAATCTTTGTTACTTGAGACTTTGTAAGACTTCGTAGAAAACACGGAATTTCCAGATTCACGTATTTCCTGACTTCGATCTTCGCAAATCTGTTATAGAAACTCCTCGATGTAAATTTATAACAATTATTGAATGGTTTCTGGTTGGAAAAAATTATGACAAAATGTGTTAGTTAGTCTGCAAACTTTTCGATGTAAATTTATAACAACCATGGTACCACAGTATCAAATCGGAGATAGAGTATGGTGTAAGCTACATCGCAAATCAGACGCAAGTCGATGGATAACAAAGAAAATACACTTGGTATATAATGGACCGTTCTAAATAAGAAATGTCGTGAGAAGGAACGCGTATGAACTAGTAGATCTGAAGAGACAGCCCATTGTATAATTCCAGACAATTAAGGCGACATCGTGAAGCGACTTAGGGAACAGGAGAGAATTAATGAAAACAAAGATGATTCAATCATAAACATGATGCAAGTTGACAAAGAAACAGAGAATTCTGAAAGAAGGCAGAAGGCATAGAAAGAATAGGACACTAGCATGATTTAAGAGAAACGAACAAATGAAGGAATAACTGGTGAAAGTGAGATTTTACGAAGTATCCTAATACATTATTTGAAAAGGCAACAGCGTCAAAACCATTGAAAAAGGAAGAAGAGGAAACGGCAAGATAACGTGATAGTATCCCTCGAAATTGCGAAATTTTAAAAAACTCAATGTAACATACAGAGGGGAGAATGCTTTAAAGGAGGCATTAATCAGAGGCGGTTTGAGTGATACCCAGGCAATAAATTCACCACAAATAAGGATAGAAAAAAGGATAACCAATCAAAAAAGTTATCTTTAAAGAGGTCTTTCTATTTTTGGGATTAAAAAATCGATTTTTTGGCTTTTTTTGAAAGCTTTTAGTCTTAAGAATATCTCACCAAAACATTTTTTACCAGAAACGAAAATTGTCCAAATGATACGAGATAAATTGATGTGTTTGGGGCCGCTTGATCGATTCAAATACGCACGCCAACCAATTACTATAATCGGTGCTCGCTATTATTTATATTCAACCTTTCGAGACTTTTCTAAAATGTTTCTATCCAATGAAGCAGAGTTTCGTTCTCTTCTGAGCATCATTTTCGTTTTTAATGGAAAAAAGAGCAGTATTTGTATTAAAGTTTTAAAACTTTAAACGCGTTTTTCTTTAAACCGTGTTTTCGAATATGGCGATCACGATTTTAAACTCAGTTTGATCTACTTCTACTTCAAGGGTTATACTCAAAGAACATGTCAGTATCGAATAAATATAATTAGAAATTTATTCAGATGATTGAGAACTTAAGTGACGTAGTTTTTCGAGTGTTATATGTGAATTGTATTTCTTAAACATATATTTCTTTACATGTATTTGTACAAAATCAACGTTTCAGCTCCGTTCGAGCAATCATCAGTGTTCAAATATTAGTTTCAACATTTGCAATTGAAATCGTCATTCAATTCCAAGAATGCAGTATAGAGAGCTTCTTTAATTTCATCATTGTGAAGCCTCTTTTTCAATTAGTAGCTAAATTAGTAGACTAAATGATCACTAATGAATGACGTACTGAGTTAATTTATTGAACGTTGTTATAAATAAAAATATTTAAAGACTCACCCACTGCAATCTTCGAATCATACATTAAATACAATAGGTAAACAAGAGTTCTAATTCAAGTTCTCCGAGGGGAGGGAGGGGATGAGGGACAGGGGGATATTCGCGGGGAGGGGAGGAGGTGACGTCACTAGGTGAGGGGAATGACGTCACAGCGATAGAGGAAGGGGGATGACATCACATGAGAAGATGTCACTAGGCAAGAGAGTGAAGGCCACAGGGGAGAAGGAGGAGGAAAATGACGTCACAGTGATATAGCGGGGATGGCAGTGCGGAGAGACGAGAATGTCTTGGGAAATTACGTAGCCGGAAATTACGTAGTCAGAAATTACGTAGCCGGAAATTACGTAGCGGGAAATTACGTAATGGAGGTGTGCGGAAACTTGCATCCGTGTGAA